GAAGAGTTTTTAGAACCGGAAATAATAATGGTTGTCTTCCAGTATTGCGAGAAATACTGAGTTCACTCAGAGAGGTTTCTTTTTGAAATATTCCATCCAGAAGTCATACTATTTCCTTAGCCTATAAAAATCAAGTTCTCACCTTCCAGTATAAGATCGTCTGCAGGTCTTTTCTGTTCAAATAAGTGATTTCGACAGCTTTGAAGTCTCGGTAGAGCCAAAATGGGATTTCTTATTTAATATGAATAGCAAGCTTCTGTGGCATGTTGAGTCCAAACTTCTTCGACTTTCAAAAGCACAGTATCAGTTTGACGTTTCTGAAGCACACCAGTTGGAAGCTCTAAACTAGTGGAGATAGTAAATGAGACGTGAGTTCTAAATTTATAGAGGAGATTCTCTTTGTAATCGCATCCACCTTGCTCCTAATGCGTGGTTCGAAGAATTATCCTAGCAGCAATGAAATAGAACGGTGGATGTCTTCCAGTCTTGCGAGAAATACTGAGTTCGCTCAGAGAGGTTGATGATCTGACGATATATCCACGATTCCAAAGATCCAGATACTTCAATTTTGAGATATTGCATCCAGATCAAAATTTCAATGTGTTGTTGATGTTTTCTCCATCGATTCCTTAAGAGATTATGATCTGAGCATAAATCAGGAACGAGGTTGGTTTTTCATAACACAACTGGGGAAGAGTTTCGCGATGAACAAAATTTAACATACTCAGCTAGGTTTTCATAATGATTATGCAATTGTCAAACAAAGAAATCATTCCTGTTCATAAACTTTCAATTGGTTTTTATTTATGGTGGTAGTTATAATTACGTACATTCATTTCATCCCCGTCATTGCTGATCTTATAAATTCAACGACTGGGTGTTGTGTTTCAGTCCTATAAGGGATGGCTTAGAGATTAATCGTGATTATGCCACAATGAACTCATCATCTCAAAGGCTCAATAAGCAGTTACTCTTCTATTTATTGTTTGGTCACGTATGTTTTTGAAAATAACCGTTAAAGTTGCTCAATGCAGAATGATCCAGGTTGCTGCCGGATAATAATGGTTTCGGTGTCGTTTTCCATATTCGCACATGATCGAATCGTTGTAATCGGTGAGAGTGATATGTTTTTGTTTGCTGATGATACTGGAGTTTTAGCTGAACCTCAGATATTGAACTGTGCTTAATAATAATAAATTAAAACTAAATGCAGAAAAAATGTCATGGATTTCTTCCTCAGCAACTTAGTGTGTGGTTCATTATGACTCCTGGCAGGGTGATTCAGAAACTGAATTCGTATTGATTGCTCCACGCAGTCTGAATTAAATTGGGTGAATTAAATCCTTTGTTGGTGATACTCTATTCACTTGGGCCGTGTAGAGGATTACATTGGAGGTGTAATCAATTTGGTTGTAGCCAAAGAAAAGGCTGCGGATGGCATCAACTGTTATGGCATAAAATGTTTGAAGTCTTCCTTAATCCTCAAGTTGTGTTTGAATTTCTGGCTTGCTTTTGAAAGAGCTAAAGATAGTTTTTTAGAGAGAATTCAGCATAGTTTTGGTTTCAACTTCCAAGTACTTGTGGAATCGACTCATCAACACTCTGTGGTGCTTTTTTATGCTTGGTGATAGATTTTAATTTTATTTTGAACATCAGCTACAGCCTTTGTTGTATCCAGTGAGTATTGAAGTGTAGTAACAAAGTGTGTGTTATATTTATACCAAAAGTTTNATAAATTAAAACTAAATGCAGAAAAAATGTCATGGATTTCTTCCTCATCAACTTAGTCTCTGGTTCATTATGACTGTTCTATCATGTGCTTATGTGAATGTTTCTTGATTCCTGGCAGGGTGATTCAGAAACTGAATTCGTATTGATTGCTCCACGCAGTTTGAATAAAATTGGAGGTGTAATCAATTTGGTTGTAGCCAAAGAAAAGGCTGCAGATGGCATGAACTGTTATGGCATAAAATGTTTGAAGTCTCCCTTAATCCTCAAGTTGTGTTTGAGTTTCCGGCTTGCTTTTGAAATAGCTGAAGTTAGTGTTTTAGAGAAAATTCAGCATAGTTTTGGTTTCAACTTCCAAGTACTTGAGGAATCGACTCATTAACAGTCTGTGGTGCTTTTAGTCCATTAATTTTATTGATTATTATTTGCTTTTGGTACTCGATCTGTACAGTTTATGAACAGTTTTATGCTTGGTGATAGATTTTGATTTTATTTTGAACATCAGCTACAGCCTTTGTTGTATCCAGTGGGTATTGACGTGTAGTAACAAAGTGTGTGTTATATTTATACCAAAAGTTTGCCCATCACTTTTCTCTATACATCATTTATATGGGTTACTGATGGAACGGATAGTGAGTTTGCGAATAGCCGGATACGATATTCGGCGAAGAAAATTGCAACATCGAATATTTTATCAAAACTTCAAATATTGTTTCTCAAAAACTAAAAGTAATCTTTCAAAATGGGTTGGTTCATTGGAAAGAAGACACTTTTATTAACACTTTGGGAAATTTTCATACTCATATTCCAAAAAATCGATTTTATACGAATTTTTAAAACTTAATCTGCGAAGATTGCAAAAATCGAAAAAAGTCGATTATTTCAAAAATTTTTTTCTCAAAAACTAAAAGTGATTTTTCAAAACGGCTTGTTGCATTAAAAAGAGGATACTTTAATTAATAATTGGTGATATTTCCACAAGGATCCCTCATATTGAGTCTAAACTTGTTCTACCTTCAAAAGCACAGCAGCAGTTTGACGTTTATAAAGCATGCCAGTTGGAAGCTGTATACTAGTAGAGATAGTAGGTGAGACGTGAATTCCAAATTTATAGAGCAGATTCTCTTTGTTCCTAAGGCGCTATTTGAAGAACTATCCCATTGCGAGCAGCAATTAAATAGAACGGTAGTTTGCTGGGTCGGATAGAGAAGAGTTTTTAAAAACGAAAATAATAATGGATATCTTCGAGTATTGCGAGAAATACTGAGTTCACTCAAAGAGGTTGATGATTTCGATATAATCACAATTCTAAAGATTCCTGTTTAAAATATTCCATCTAGAAGTCATACTATTTTCTTAGCCTACAAGAATCCAATACCCGTCCTCTAGTATAAGATCGTTTGCAGGTGTTTTCTTTTGAAATAAGGGATTTCGAGAGCTTTGAAGTCTCGTTAGAGCAGTTTTCCTTGATTTGATGTCTTTTCCATCGATTCCTTAAGAGATTATGATCTGAGCATGAATCAGGAACGAGATTTGTTTTTTATAACAAAACTATGGAAGAGTTTCGAGATGAACAAAATTGAGACTTGTTTGTTATTCTATTTTTCAACCAATACAGCTTTCAATTGATTTTTACTTAGTATAGAGCTATAATTTCGTACAATCATTTCATGCCCATCATCTTGTAATTCTTGTAAATTCAACGACTGAGTGTTGTGATTCAGCCCTGTAAGGGATGACTTGGCAATGTCGCGATGAACTCACCGTCTGAAAGGCTCAATAAGCAGTTAGTCTTCTATTTATTGTTTGGTCACGTATGTTTTTGAAAATAACCGTTAAGGTTGCTCAATACAGAATGCTCCAGGTTGCTGTCGGATGGCCCATAATGGTTTTGGTGTCGTTTTCCATATTCGCACATGATCAAATCGTTGTAATCAGTGAGAGTGACATGTTTTTGTTTGCTGATGATATTGGAGTTTTAGCTGAACCTCAGATATTGAACTGTGCTTAATAATAATAAATTAAAACTAAATGCAGAAAAAATGTCATGGATTTCTTCCTCAGCAACTTAGTGTGTGGTTCATTATGACTCCTGGCAGGGTGATTCAGAAACTGAATTCGTATTGATTGCTCCACGCAGTCTGAATTAAATTGGGTGAATTAAATCCTTTGTTGGCGATACTCTATTCACTTGGGCCTTGTAGAGGATTACATTGGAGGTGTAATCAATTTGGTTGTAGCCAAAGAAAAGGCTGCAGATGGCATGAACTGTTATGGCATAANGATATTTCCACAAGGATCCTTCAAAAACTAAATTTTATAGCGAATTTTGAAACTTATCGATGAAAACTTTTAGAAATAAACCAACATTGGTTTAGGATTTTAACACTATCAATTCAAACAACAATAGGCAACCCTCTCATATTCATCACCATCGTCCTCTTCAATCTAAATTTAGCTTTTAACTAGCAATTAAATTACCTGGGACACATCTCCCATGTAGAGAGAGAACAAAACTTAATTACTGGCATATTACGACAACAAAAGAATTCCCCCTTTGCGTTTCATTTCATTTCAAAACTTTTTCAGCTCGTTAGTTTAACCATTTTTATTAAATTTAAAACCAGTTTTTATAAACAAAATAATCAAACTTTAATACCTTTGATTATATTATCTTAACCAATCAATTTATTTATTTTGAAGGACACGGCGACGTGGATTTTATTGGAAATCAATCGTGTGTACTCCATTTAAAATATTACACATATTATGGGACTTGTTAAAATTGTAGTTGTTGTGGGTGATTTGTGATTTTATTTGAGTGAGTTTAATTCGATTAATAATCTGTTTTTGTGTAACAAAGCTTTTAGATGATTAAAACTGGAGATCCCTTTGTATTTATTGAAATATCAACTACGATGTAAATTCCTATATACAAGATTAACTAAATCCACCAGAATTATCACACCCAGTTTTAGATCAAATTAGATTATTAAGTAGTTAATCTTAAAAATTAAGATTAAACGAAAAAGATTAAAATTAAAATTAACACAAAAAAAGCTTAATTATTGTGATATATTTCGACAGGACAAGAAACTTTTCCTCGATTTATTTATTATAAATGAATACTTGGACGTTGGAGAACTTGTTAATAGCAACGTTTGCAACAAAGTAATCTTAAAAAGATGTTTATAACAATATTAAAACGTTGTTTTTAATTTTTTGAAATTGTTTAAATTTTTTTTTATAAAAAAAATATTTTTTTTGTTTAGTTGTAGAGCGCCCATCGCTAGTTTAGACTGCATGGAAGAGTTCAGTGCGGGCAGCGCTCTCAGTGCACTCGGTGACCGGCAGAGCGATGGAACCATCACCAAAGAACAGTTATTGCTTAGCGGTCTCACGCACACGGCACCTTCTGCTCACATACAACTTAGTAAACAAACTGCAATCACCCCAGGTTTAAGATATAGAAATTTGGGCAAAAGTGGATTAAGAGTTTCCAACATTGGATTAGGTAAGGTCTTTACAAAATCAACCAAATTCGAATTAAATTTTATATCATTATAGGAACTTGGCCCACTTTTGGACCAACAGTAACTGAAGAGCAAGCCGAACAAATTATCTCCTTGGCTGTTGATAGTGGAATTAATGTTTTTGATTTATCAGAAGCACATTCAGGTTTGTTTGCATATTTTTGGTGATACTAAAACGTGTTTTTTTCAACATTTTTTTTAGGTACACGAGCTGAAGTTGAATTAGGAAGAATTTTAACGAGAAAAGGTTGGAAACGAACGAGTTATATCGTTACTACTAAAATTTATTGGAGCACAAGGTACAATAAAATATTTTTCGCCTCCCATAACTGAAAGTAAATCATATCAGTTTCTATAAGTTTTTCATCACAATCTAGTTAGTCTTCATTGACTTCATTGAAATTAATTGATTTATAAAATTAGTTTTATTTTATATTTTTGCAATTTTGTTTGGTTTAATGGGAGGCGAAAAACTGTTGTGTATCACACGTGCAGAAATGTATTAGCAGCCCTTATCTATGTATTAGCTAATAGCCTCGGGCTGCTAATGCTTATTTTCTGCCCTTGAGACACAATATACTATTTATTCACAATCACCTGATAATTGAAGTTTTATCCTCCATACTTATGAACCGTATAAAGTACCACTTTATCCACTAGTGGAATAAAGTAACAATGTCCCAATGTTTTTTTAGTTAATTGCAATGATTTTTGAGGTGTCAGAGTGAAATGTTAAATCATTTTTTGATAACATCAGATGAAATTTTGGCGATTCTGATTTTAAATGATTGAGGATAAAGCGTTGTATTGCATGCGTGTTTTAGATGCATTTTATTCATTTAAGAAAATTAAACGCTCGAGCTTGCGTGAATAAAATATCTGTCTAAAACACTTACACAATAAATAACTACAATCCCTATTTTATATTATATCTTATTTTACTTTTAGATCGGAAGAGAGAGGATTATCTCGAAAGCACATAATAGAAAGTGTTAAAGCAAGCTTATTGAGGTTACAATTATCTTACATCGATGTCGTAATCGTCCATAAAGCCGATCCAATGTGTCCCATGGAAGGTAAATACCAAAAAAATAAAGTCTTTTTTATTGTATTAATTTGTTTTTGTAGAAATAGTGAGAGCAATGCATTATGTAATTAGCCAAGGTTGGGCGATGTATTGGGGTACAGCACGTTGGTCACCAGTAGAAGTAATGGAAGCTTACACAAACTGCCGCCAATTCAATTGTGTAACTCCAATAGTAGAACAATCCGAATACCACATGTTTTGCCGCGAAAAAACCGAATTGTACATGCCGGAATTGTACAACAAAATCGGCGTTGGTTTAATGGCATGGTCTCCAATCTCCATGGCTTTAGCCCAATGTAAAGAAGAAGCAGGAGTTCAGCTTTTCTCGCGGGCGAGTTTTCGTAATAAATATAGCTCATTCTCATGGACAGAAGATGAAAATGCAGCCTCAAATAAAGATGGTTACAATTGGATGAAAGATAGAATCCAACCGGAGGAATCAAGACGACAACAAGAAAGAATCCGGGAATTGAGTGGCTTAGCAGAACGGATGGGGTGCAGTTTGGTGCAGCTTGCAATTGCGTGGTCTTTAAAAAATGAGTCGGTTCAATGTTTATTATTGGGAGCTAGTAGTGTTGATCAATTGTATGATAGCATACAATCATTGCAGGTAATCCAAAAATATTTTAAATAATAACTTGATTTTAAACCCCATGAGTCGATTTTTAGTTGGTACCAAAATTAAATACGAATGTAATGGCTGAAATTGAAAGGATTTTGGAGAATAAACCGACGAGACCGCCTATGGTTTCAACTCTGGCGCTTAGATGACAATCAATGTGCCCTCCTGGCTCTATCAGGTCAAAAAAATTTACTTAAAATTAAATTAAAATAACCGTTTTTGTTTTTAGTGGGGGCCAGGGAGGCACAAGTAACGCAGACAGTCCAAAATTAAGTGACGAATTGAGCAACACTGAAACGGATGCAAAAGATGGTCAAAAGCTTCCGTTCTGCGAGATTCAGTGACAAAAGGTGACCGAGTTTGTAAAAACTCGTCAAAAAATTAAAACGCCCGACGAAAAGCCGTACAAAGAAAAGGTGAAGTGGTCGTACAGCCCCGACGAGGGCCCCAAATGTACCACCGAGACGTTCCTCACCCAGAAAAAACGTAGCGGCGACAAAAAGACGAGCCCGGTTCAAGTTTGAACTAAAGCAGCTTTTTAAAATTGAAGCTTTTAAAGTAACCGAAAAAAAAAAACTTGGACTATTTTTGACTCTTAGTCAGAAACAGATTTTCCAATTTCGCAGGGAGTTACTTTTAGACACTTTCTAACCCAGATCTGAGCTTTAATACAAACACATTAGAAGCTGCATTAGAAACTTTTTCGAAAATTTTTCTAAAAAAATTTATGAAGGAAAAGAAATATGATGTGGAAAAAGAGGATGTTTTTTTCCTCTCGATAAACAAAATCGTCATATAATGAAAATACTCTAATAAATAAATTTATGGTTATTTCAGAATTTCGCCTTAAGTGTTCTGATCATGAAAAAGTAATATTTCTGAATGGAAATTACGAGATGAGAATTATTCCTGGTAACAAAATTGTAATGTATTATCCATATATCTATATTTAAGATTTATTACAAAAAATATTTATATGTTTTAAGATTAAGGATTAATTGGTTAGTTAATTTTCTTTTATATCTTGAAATCAAAACACGCTGTTCAATACGATTTTTATTCCTCGCATTTTTAGTTGTGAGTTTTGATCTAAAATGAAGAAAAATCGGGGATTTGAAAGTCCTGATTTGGTGTTGTTATATTATATTTACTATTTTAATCTATAATATAAGGCTAAATGGCATATTAAGAAAGTTTAATATCTTATATTGGTGTCCCAATTAAAGTTTCATATTGAACCACAAAAGTTACAACTAAAGCTTGATAGATTTGAAGAGAGCCATCTGTAACATTAAAATTTCAAATACGGATATGGATAATATGGATTTTCAAGAAAAACTTCTTTTTATTCGTGCAATAAATTTAACTTTGCCACATGAATTATTTAACTGTAAAAGAAAGAATTGAAATGATTTTATTTATGGCGAATGCAGATAAAATATCGACTACGCTGTCATTCTGGTAAATTTACAGCTATAACATGTATTGTTGAAGTTTAGAAAACCTAAACTTCATTATATTCATGAATGGAACTATTTGACTACAACAAGCATGAAAGAGGTGCTTCATTTCTATGGGTTATATTAACCCCATATCTCTGATAATGCAGAATGCTGATTGTACATAATTCTATGGTTATTTTAAAATGCAATAGATTTATCGTTTGAAGGGAACTGTCGAATCCATCATTAAGCTAACTTCGCCACCTTTTTGCATTGCAAAAATCCGATCGAATGCAAAAAAAAAACACTTCTCCGTCTTCCTCCATTATCTGCGTTAACAGTTACAAATAAAAAATCAGTATCTCCAGATGAGTAACAGCAGTTCTTTCAGCTTTAGACATTTGTTTTGAAATTAATTACGTATACCGGGTGTCCAATTAGTGCGATATCGGACGATATCTCCTTACAGGGTGTCGCTAGAAGAAAATGTTTATATATAAAGTTGTTTGGTGCTTGAAGGTGCATAACCTAAAAATATTTTTGTTTATACAGGGTGTTGCAAAAATAAAATACAAGGTACAACTTCGTAAATTTAAATGGAACACCCCATATTTTATTGTATTTTTGAATTACCCTTATGTGCAATAGTTATCAAGTTATTTATAGGACATGCTTTATAAAAAAGAAACCTTATTACTTGGCGAATAATTTAAGATAAAAAAATATGAGGCATTCCATTTAAAAAAAATTAGATATAGCTATTTCAAGTTTCTGGTATGGAGTACAATATTACGAACACCTGTAGAAGGTTACCAGATTTTTATAGGGGCATGAAGTTACTGTAACTATGCGTTAATAATCTACAAAAGATTTGCTTTGTAGGGTCTTAAATAAATTGGGTATGCTTTCTTTTATAGACACGTGTAGACGGAGATTTTTTCACAAAATGTTGAATATTTCAAAAACGGTAAAGTTTTGGTATAGGTAATGCTTAACAAAAAGTATGTCGAATTTTAAGGGTATTTCAAAAACGTAATAAAATATGGGGTGTTCCATTTAAATGTACGAAGTTGTACCTTGTACTTTGTTTTTGCAACACCCTGTATAAACAAAAATATTTTTAGGTTATGCACCTTCGAGCACCAAACAACTTTATATATAAACATTTTCTTCTAGCGACACCCTGTAAGAAGATATCGTCCGATATCGCGCTAATTGGACACCCTATATACTTTTCTCTTCATCTTTTTTCGTTGATCTTACTTTTTTTTTTTTTTTTCTCTGACATGTCTGTAACAATAACTTTTTCTTCAGGCTTTCTACCTTTATTAGTTTCATTCTGGGACCAACTTAACGTTGAACTTACACTGGAGTTATAATATTACTAAAAGTGTGACTAGTCAAACTGCAGGAGATAAAAAAATTATTCTGGAATATCACGAATGAACAGAGACAGGAGTCTATTACTCCGATTTAATGGGTAAATACATGCACTCTTAAATCGACTATGTTTGGCGTAAAAGAGACTTTGTAAAACTTTTCTAATCACCTCAGTCAATATATATCAAATGTCTTACCAGCAGTATTTCCATGCCAGTTGTTAATTTTTTGATTCTAATCATTAAAACAAGACCTTTTTCATCTTTTTTCGCACCTGTTCACCGCCATCTTGAATATGCGTGCCAGACTTTGTTTCGTGATCTTTATGATAAGGTCCGTGTATCTTGTAGGAGATCTCCCACGCGACCTTTTAGCCAGCTACTATGTCCTCTAAGGTAAGACTTTGAAACGAGACAGATTGTCAAATAAAGATTCTGGATTCGCGGGAAGGCAGATTGAACCGCCCGCAGCACTTTTACCTCAACAGATACCTTGTATTTACTTCCTTCCTTTGGTCAGCATTAGGATCCTTCCAGCCATATTATCTTGGAGACAAAGGCTAGAATTTGTCTTGGTTGTGCTGCCCTGATTCCACTCATACGAATTTGGATATCTCCAAAAATGGATAACCTTAATGTTTGGAGGGCCACGCAGTCGCATAGAATGTGTTCATCTCATCGCATCCTCTGCAGATGTCGGTATCATTTATTCCCATGTTCAGTAAGTGCTTCTGTAGATGCCAGTGTTTAGACTTTTGACCAAACGTATGTTCTTCCTGAACAGCCTCATAAATAAATCTGTTCGTTTAGGGTCATGGTTCATTAGAGCCTCCTTGGCTTGGCGACATCCTGGTGTCCTGTCCCAGTAAGTTAGAAACTTTTTACATGTTTCCTTTTTTTGAAGCTCTATTAAAGACCTTATTGTTAGGGCGATGATTGGTTCTGGCGATCCCGGAGGTTCGCCTGCAGTTTTCCTTGCCAGTTTGTCCACCATATCATCAAGCTTATTTTCCGAATGACCCTTTGTCCAGCAGATCGTAATCTCCTCACAAAGATTGTTATGGCAGTCCTCAAGCAACGAGGATGAACATATATTATAGTTTTTTTGTTACTAATTTTCTTGAAAATTGCCTCAGCCGCCAGAGAAATGGTCACCAGCTCCGCTTGGAGCGCGGCGGGTCAAATTCCCAACGGTTTAGAAACTTTTATTGTTGGTTATTTTTGGACAGTGTCGTCAGGCATGGATTGTTCTTCCACCTTTGTTTTATACGGTCGTTCAAAGATAAAACGCGTTGTAGTCGTATCTACCCTGCCATTCAGGAGCGGCTGTTTGCTACATGCCTCCTCCTATAGCTGTGAGGAGCTTGTGAGACATATAATACAAAAAAATTGTATCTCCAAACAGAAGAACACATTCTTTCTTAAAAGATTTGACTTGTGATCATCAAGAATTTTAAAAACATTTCTTCATTTGAGCTTCACTGATTTAGGAAGTGCACCAATCAGTAAATCGGTCTTTAAAATAGGCTCTTGAAAAGATAAGCCTTGCAAGAATATGGTTCTTTGATTTTTATTGCAACCAATTTTTCGTTTTTGCATTATATAGCTTCGCACTTGATTTATTCATTTTATATCAATCAGAGTTTACATTTTTGAAAAATCCTGTTTCGTCTAAATTCCGCAACTTATTAAGTTCCTGCGACTTTTGCACTTAAGTCACTCCTTTTTTAATATACATACTTAATTCAATATTTTCAGCAGCGCAGTACAAGACCTTACAGCGTTTCATTAACTGATTTGAGTTGTCGTTTTAAAAACTCCAAACAATGTGGGATACTTTATTAGAAGATAGGTGTTGACTTAACTTAAGAAAGATGTAGATGAGACTTAACGCCACAATTTTACAGGGGAAAGATGACTCTGACGAAACTGTGTTGAATACATTTTGGGATGTTGGTCTCGAATTACGGATTATTCATCGCAAATTAGAGGAATATAGAATAGCATCAGTTTCCTTCATAGAGAATTTTTACATTTTTGTCTGACACATAATGTTGTATCAGCATTGCCTAGTGGAAGTAGAATGGAAGAGTCTAATGTGGCGTTCTGAACATACTATTCTGAGATTATCTTGCGACGCCAAATTTGTGGTAAGCTAGATGACAAACGTCGATGTTGTGCTATCGTCACTTCAATTAGATATTCTTGTTTCTGTAAAGTCCGTATATTTACTATGCGATACTTTCCAATTCGTGCAATGCACATGGCAAGCAACAAGTAGTGTGTATGTGAAGACTTATATACTTGTGGAGCTGCATGAGTACTTCCCATCGTTTCTGATGTGTACTTTTTAACTTTATTTCAAGTCGAGTAATTTGGCAAGTATCGCATAGTGAGTCCAACGTAATTGGCATAAAATTAAAAGGTGAGAAATACTTCGTCCCTCAAAATCCAAAGAAAAACATCACTCTCTAGTGATGAGTTGATGAGTGGAAATTCCAATCAAATCCAAACTTCAGGATTTTTAAATTAATTTCATTTTAGGTCAAAAGGAAACAAAAATAATTGAGGAACCAAAAATACGTTATAATTTAATTTACTCTTTAAATAATAAATTTATTAAGATTTGTAAATAAAATCATAAACAATTCCAAGAATTCTAATCTACATGGGTATTTGACCAACAAATCAATTTATTAACTGTAAAGAAACTCTTATCTCGTCCAAACGAAAAATAATAAGATTTAAAAAGTCTAAAATAAGCGAAAAAAACGAGAAAAAAATTACCTTAATCGTATGTATTTATCTCGAAATCGAACAAAAAGAAATCAAAATGCGATATCGGAATAATAATTTGATTAATTAAAAAAAAAAAAAAAATTGGTAGGGTGTAAGAACGTAAATTTGTAATAACATTTAACGAAAAAACAAAATGGTTAAATAGAAAAACTTGCTTAAGAAAAAAAAAATTGGAAGGATAAATTGAATTGGATAAGGGAAAAACGAGAAATTTCTTCAAATCTTGATTTTTTTTAATGATTACTTGGTTTATAAATTTTTGTAGTGTATTATTAAATCGAAGGAAAGTTAGGAAATGAATGAAAAAAAAAAGTTTTTGAATAGATTTAGGTGGTAGTGCGATTTTGCTCATAAATAAAAAATAAAAATAAACTCAAAAAAAAATTAACTAAAAAAATATAAATTAAAAAAAAATTTGTTGACGACTTTCAAATTCTATATCTTGTTCTTCACAATGGTTATTAAAAAAATACATTATCGAGAACACTGTTTGTTAATTATTAATTAATTTTTGAATTAAAAAAAAATTGTACATTTACAGGCGTACAATGCTGTGATTGTTTAATTAAAAAAATACTATTGTAATATTATACATATAGTTACTATACATATTGTATATGATATAAAAAAAAATGAATGAAAAGATTATTATAAAAGGAAATAATTTAAGAATTTTTAAACGTATTTATGTGTTTTGGGATTTTTTTTTAATAACGTGGAGTTTATGAGTTACGCAATAAAACTTGTTCATATTTCAACGTTTTCCGTCAAGATTCACACACACTAGAGGGCTTCCATACCTTATTAGTGAAGTATTCATATCAATTTAGATGTTATTAGGGTTGTTCATATCAAAGAAAATGCTGTGTTAGATCATTGTCTCATTCATATTTAGCATTAGACAATCAATTTTTTAAATTCCCTTCATTTTATGTAGAAACACACAATATAACGAACAAAATAAATAAGTAGCAATATTAAAAACATATCGTTTATAACTTAACTCCACGTTATTATTAAAAAAAAAGAAAATAAATCAAAATAAAAATTGAGATTAGAATTAAGTTTTGTTGGTTTTATGTTTAATGTGAAGGAGTTGGAAATGATTCATTTATTTATCGTATCGTAGATTTAAGATTTCTCTCAATTTTTCGAGATTTACAAGTTTTTTATTTTTGTTTCGTAATAAATTAAAATTAATAATGCTGCTCGATGAGTTTATTGATTAAAATAAATGGGAAAAAAATAGAGAGAAAGAAAATCGGAAAAAGAGAATAAAATAAAAGGAAATGAAAATAAATAATAATGGAAAATATGAAAAAAAAAAAAAATAAATAAAATGAAA